ATTAACTTTCTTAAGAAAAGTTAATCAATGCTGAAGCCTTGATATGGCAGTAAGATTTTTTTGTAAGTTGAGAGGTTTTGGAGATTTCAAGATCACTTCCACTTTTTTTCTTAGATGTAATGATATATTTTTTCCATCCACTAGTATTTTTTTAATAAAAGAAGTATTAATAAAGTTTTAATAAAGTGTAATAAGTTTTAATAAAAAAAAAGTATGTTGGGAGATATCTTAATTTTAAATCTGTAAAATGAAAGATAAAAACAGTGTGAACACAAGAACACTGCCCCTTGTCTTTCATGGGATAAATTTTACAGAATTAAGATGAAAATATTTTCTAAGCATACATAGATTAATACTTTCTTATATAAAATGTCGAGCTACGTGTGAACGTTCCAGTTAAAAAAAAAATGGAGGTGACCTTGAAATCTTCAAAATCCCTCCACTTTAAAACCTTCTTGGTACTGATTGATTTTTAGTCAGAAAATTTATGTGCTTCTAGCTTTTTGGATGATCCCATTTAAATACTCCACCCTAATAGAAAATAATAATTACCAATAGCTACATTGATAATTATGAATATTTTTGCCTTAATCGATTCCTTTCTAATCTTAATGTTAGCTCTTCTATAATAAGTACGAATAGTTTAGAAAGTTACGTAGAATATTTTTTTATTAAAGAAAAAAATATATCCTTTCTAGTCTAAATTTGATAAACAGGAATTCTAGAGGAACAGCGGATAGAAAGAAATTCTTTGCAGATAATTTCGCGTTAAGTATTTAGATTAAGTGTTTAACGTCAGAATATATACGAGAGTATTTCAAATTAGACTTAAGCAGTATTTCATTACAATTAATTGTAATTATTATTACAGCAAGCCAAAATATCATTGGTCATTGCAAACACTTCCTCTGTATGTTTTAAATAATACAAAATTTTCTTTAAATCCTTCATCACGACAATAAAAATATATTTTCTATACTTTTATTCTCTATAAAAATATAATATTTTTTACTTAAAAATTCGAATTACTATTTTTCGATTATCTTAATATTTGAATGTTGTATCATCCAAGTACAACATTCTGCTGGAAATTATTATTTATTAGCTTTGATATCTTTATTACAATGATATATTAGATGTTGAAATGTTCGTAAAATGAGAATTCAATTAAAGGATGTCGTTTGATTTCAGTTTATACAACTTCTTAAGCTTGTTAAATATATTAATATATGCAACGTATATTGTATGAAATGTAGATCTATAATTACGTTCAAATATTGACTTTCTTCGATCCACTTACAACGAAAAGAACTCATGGCACACGGTAAGAAGTGCATCAGTTGTGTTCTTCGCATGTTCTCGTATTCTTAGCTCGCGAAACAGGCAGTTACATTATAGATATATTCGGTATTTTTCTGTCCGCTTCTTCAGATCGTCGCAAGTGTTGCATAATCGCCATTTTAAATATAACAAAGCGAACGATCGCGCCAACACGGTTTCGAAACCGTGCATCATGAAACCTCCTTGCAAAATCGGCGCGTCAAAAATTCCTCGGCGATTGCAAGGCGGTTCAGATATTATTTCCAAGTATTTTTTCGCGATCGAAACAGGAAATAGTGCAATATTGCAATTCGGTTTCGAACGATTCTTCAAGCACATTCAGACAAATGTACACTGTCCTAGCTACTACATAAACAAAAATAAATTGTACGAGCGAAAATGAAGAAAAGAACTTTATAGAAATCTATAGAACGGAACAGTGTTCTAATATTAATCGATCAAAAGGAAATTGCAAATATAGTATTGCGTTGATTCGATTTTCATTGATTCGACTTTTGATTAAGTTTGATTAACTCGTTAAGGGCCAATGAATAATTCGTCGTGATCTTCAGCGAACATCTTTAGATTCTAAAATTCGCAATTTCCGAAAGTTGGAAGATACTTGACAAATTCTTGGAATTCTCTTTCCTTCAACTATAACGTTGAAAAAGCAAAATTCTGTGCAAATGAAATGTTGCTTCAGTACTTTAATCAGCTGAGATAAATATCTCGCCCAGTGTGTTGGCCTTTAACGAGTTGATAAAAGTATTTCGTTCGACAAATAAGCAATACGGGGACCATTAAATTGCAATGGAAGGACCGAACGGAATGAGAGGATAATCGTTGTGCTTTACAGATCCGACGAAATTTCGGTAAAGAAGCGATATTCAGCGAGTAACTGATCGTACGTTTAGTATCGGACGATCACGAATTTCGTATTGCGCCGTGACAATTAGCATGTAAAAGCTGTAGAGGAAGAGTGAGAGATAGAGAGTGTATGTGCGCGGATGTATGAGAGAGGAAAGAAAAACGCGACACCTATTCGCGTCGTAGACGCACGTGCAATTAACGCACGTTCGCTTCGCGTTTAACGAACGTGGAATTATTAACTGTTTAAGTCTCTCGCTTTTTCCCCCCTCTCTCATGCACGTAATCGTTAAGCTATATTACCGCAGCTTTCTCACATGTGATATAATATATAGGCTCTTAATTCGCTGTTAGCGTAGGGACGTATTTATGTCTGTAACGTAACCGAAACTTCTTTCCTGAGTATTATGGCGAACGGAGTCGAAAGTTCTTTCGAGATGGGACTGTCGACGAGTGAAGAAAAAAATAAGAAGAATTATGACTTTAGAAACGACAAGTTACTAAAAATTATTTCCGACCAATGTTTATGTAAAGTTGAATTCCTGTGAATATAACTAACAGTGGAACTATCGGCGAGTGGAGTAAATTAATGTTTATATAAAGAATACGAGAAAGTTCAAGTTCTCGGAAAGAAGCCTGAATTTCTGAAAAATTCGAATTTCTTGAACTAGAAGTTCGAAGAATGGGAGAAAGATCAATCTCACCGTAAATTATAAATTTCTCACATTCACTACTCTGGTAGTTCTAGCTAAGCTAGTAAAGAAGCTAAGTAAAATGTAAAATTGAAGCAAAGAGATTCTTTTCAGCCATTGAATATTGTAGCGATCACTTTAATTTTTGAATACTTCGCATATTTCCGCACATTCAAACAGTTTCAATGATTTTCCTTATTCTTTCTTTTGCTCTTCACAGTGTGTACGCCCAAAGAAAGTACAATAGAGTACACTTTGCGAATGTATTACATGACGATAGTGGATACTTTAATCGATTACAATCGTACTCTGATTCGTACTTTAGAACAATGGCAACGATGAGATCGATATTTTTCTACTTGACACGTTGCAAAAGAAAGAGAAAAAAAAGAAAACAGAGTAGTGAGAAGATTTTCAGAAATTCTTAGCTCGCTGTAATAATATAGTTAACGTTTAACTCTGTAATATATTATACGTAATGATTCTTTATAAATGCGAATGTCTAACTCAATCTTGAACTTCTTATTTTTACACCTTTCGTTTCAAATCACACGATGAACTCGTGTTGCAGAATATAAGTGAACTCGTAATATTTCAGATAATTAAATTGATTTGTTCATGACATTTTTACGTTACTTTGCTCCGTGAAAGCATAAATTTCAGTTCGTATTCTATGCTTAAATTAAATCACTCTCGTAAGAATTACTAATTTTGAAGATATTTTATTTTCAGCACTGAAAGTGCTCGAGTGCAGGCTACTCGATCTCAGAAATTAATTTAATCAAAATGTACTTTGAGACTGCTAATAATTCTCTCTTTTTTTTTATAGTACTCTGGAGAGAGATGTGAAAAGTTTCGTAACATCGATAATTAAGCAACAAATTTCCTGTTGTATCAATACGAGGATGCTTCTGCTTATTACAATCGTGCAGAGTTTGTGGTACGTGCATTCAACGAATAGTTTCCAGTCGTTGTGCTGTATGTGGCTTCAATTTCCATCGTGCTCATTTGATCTCATGCGATTTGATTATACTCTTAGGATTATTTAGAAAAGAAATTTTTATGTATTTCTAATTAACATAATACAGATTACTATACAGAATTACTGCATAATAGACATGTAGAATATATTGTAGTACTTGGAATCTTCTTTTTTTTTT